TATTTCTCGTTATTTTATTTTATTTTATTCATTTATTTATTTATTTATTTTTACCTCTGTGATATTTCTCGTTACGATTTATTTATTTATCCATTTATTTTATTTTATTTTATTCGCTATACAAACTGTTCTTATTCGCAATCTCATTCATACGAATTCACCCACCGCCCCATGATCATGTTTATCTTCGATACTCATATTCATTCGTCCGGCAGCGACACGTTTTTTCACGTTCTCTACTTCCAAGCATCTCTTCTAAATTGTTTCATTAATATTTTATTAATATCAGTTCCAGACACCTTAATATTACATAAGCTTTCGCTTATTTTACGTAATACTCCATAGGAGCTCACTTCTCGCAGGCAAAACGGTTCAGACGATTCTTTAAACGGAGAAAAAAGAAAGAAATTTTCGAGATAATTTTCAATCGGTATTCTCAAAAAAAAAAAAAAAATTTTAATTTTTCTCAAGAAGAAGTACTTCGAATTTCTTCAATTTTCTGAAGAATTCGTAGCTGAACCGATTGCCTGGTTGCATGTCCCAGATTCTTAGTCCGATCGTACCCCGATTTCGATCGATTACGATCATCGAATTATTATTGTCCTGTTTCGTCTTCGAACTCGATAATCCCTAGAACACCCGTGATGATATTTCCTTGATTTACCGGGCTGATTAAAATAATGTGTTGCGTGTTATGCATGTAGGCGTTTACGGGGATGTACAACGCGTGAAGATTCTCTACAACAAGAAGGACTCGGCACTGATTCAGATGGCCGAACCGCATCAGGCACACTTAGGTAATTCATTTTATGTTTATACATTTTGGGAATTGTTCGAATGTGGACGAAGATTATACAGGGTGTTTCGGGAAAATTTTAACACTTATATGAAAGTAACTTTTTTTAGAAAAACGAAACTGTATTTCGTCTTTAACACGTTGACTTCCACGGTGGTCATCAGTGACTGGAGGGCCTCAAATGTTTAGAATAATTAAAATGCAGTGAATATCGTCAACTAAAAATTTAGTTGCTTAAATCTAGTAAACTAGACGTTATTTTGAATTAAAGATATAATCATAAGAATAATAAAGCATAATGTAATACTATGCTTAGAATAATGAAAATTTTCTTGTGGCAGTCAACGTGTTAAAGAGTTTCCACTTGTTCACCATTGTTAGTTTTGAAATATTCTTCAGCTGGTCTTCAGATCTGTGAAGCACATTTCTTTTGGTATTGTTGCAATCACATTTGCGAAGGAAAGGAAAGGAACGTGATTTTGAAGCACTCTGTATAATAAATAATAAATCTTACGAATCGAAGTTTGCTGACATTGTATTCTGATTAGGCAAATTTATTTCGCGATGAAAGAAAATATTGTCCAACGTTAAATAATTGCTTTCCAATAATCTACTCGAGATTGCAAATATTCGATTCGTTAAAATCCCGGTAAAACGTACAATAAATTACAGTGAAAATAGACGAAATAAATTGAATGGAAGTTCATTTGCAAAAATAGATCGAAAATTTCAGTAAAATGTTTTTTGAAATATCTCTGAAACGACAATTTGCCGAATAAATTTTACATATATGCTACAGAATGTTCATTTCTCGTTTGTTTTAATCTCATCAGAATGTTATTCACTCGATTAATATTAATTGTTTTACTTATAAATGCTAACAAGATTTTACATAGGGTGTCTGGTAATATGTTACTCTTAATAAGAAAAAAAAAATGAGTCGAAAATATGAAATAAATTTTTTTCGATCGTTAACCTAGTTTCCAGGAAAAATAACTTTGCTACTCTTAAATTTTTAAATCATTTTTCTCAGAAATTATGCAAGCAATCAAAAGCCTTTGCTCCACATTTCTCACTTTTTTGTGTATATTAATATAACGACAATATTCTCTTCACCAAAACTGAAAAATAGTCGAAGAAATTTGTAATTATACATATTAAGATATGTAACTATAGTTTGTAGTTGTTGATTATTGTGTTCGTTTATGGCAGTCGGTTCTTCATCTGAACCAGCGCAGAAACGAATTTTCAAATTCAACAAAGATTACAATTTTAAATTAAAAATTCTACATTTTTCACTTATGTTTCTATTACTACGATTCACCGTATACCCTGTGTACATCTGATGGAAGAACGTATTAATAATTTCTTTCAATGCCTGTGCTTCGCCAGCGCTGACACACATGGACAAATTGCGAGTGTTTGGCAAGCAGATCAAGGTGATGCTGAGCAAACATCAGACGGTTCAATTACCGAAGGAAGGCCAGCCAGATGCAGGATTAACGAAAGATTACACAAACAGTCCTCTTCATCGATTCAAAAAACCAGGCTCCAAGAATTATCAGAACATCTATCCACCAAGCTCCACTCTGCATTTATCCAATATTCCGTGAGTGAAATTCTCGATAAATTCATTTCTTTTTCCAACGATAAGTAGGATCGATAAATTGATTCTATAGTGTGATGAATTTCTTTTTTCACGTGTTTAGCACAACCGTAAACGAAGAGGAGATCAGGGATGCGTTCACCAAGAACGGTTTCACCGTGAAGGCATTCAAGTTCTTCCCGAAAGACAGAAAAATGGCGCTCATACAGATGCCTAGCATGGACGATGCTGTAGCTGCTTTGATCGTAAGTGTCCTCTAGGTTTCATTTCAATTTTTTGACAAATTTTTGAGGATAATTGTTCCATTTCGTAGAAAGTGACCTATAGAAATTTTGATAAAATTTTTAA